CTTGGCCCTTGGCCCGGCTCTCTCTGATACATTTACATCCAAACCTCGAATAATTACAAGAAAAATAAACCCAAACGTCCGGAACCCATTCCGCCGGGCTTTTCGCTCGATTCCAGCATTTTTCGTTCCCGGCAGGTGTTCATTGACCGGATCGAAATTTGCTTTGGCCCCACGGAGTAGGAATTCGTGGCGAGCGAACACAATGACAACTAATGTATTTTTTGCGTCTTGGAGCGATTGAAATATATATTTAGTTGGTAATTTATTTTGATATAATTTACCGGAAATTGCGCTAGTTTTTTCCGAGTCAGCGTTTTGATTCGCAGTTGGAAATTGAGCTCGCTGCGGCAATTCGCTTGTCATCGCTTTTGATGTGTACTCTTGCTTTGGTGACCTTTGGTGGCTGGCTGCGTAATGAGGAATTTGCAAATTGCAGCAGAAAGGAATTGATAATATGGAATTATGTATAATTTTTTTGCTGGAAATGCAAAGTATGCGGCAGTTGGAGCTAAATCATGTAAGAAACTGTGATACTTTGAGAAACGTAGTAGCTGGTGCTAAGTTAGTGTGGTGTTAAAATCACAGCAAGGAACGACTACCAGTTAATTAATTTACTTTCACAAATATATTTTGAAAACAAAAATATTAAAACATAAAATTGAGCAAAAATAATACTGTTTTAATAAGCGTTAATTTTCTACTAGTTACGCATATTTTAATTTATATTAGACGACAAATTTTTACGTCTGAAGTGTTTAAGTGGCTGCAGCATCAAAATTTAATTATTCATCCCCCACCAATAATTTGACTACGTCACATCAAAGTTTTGCTGGGCATATAAATTATATAAAATAAAATAATCACATATAATACACTCGTGATTTATTTTTTATTAATAAGTATTACATATCTTCAGTATTCGAATAGGTCCTCCTCTAGAACTTCATTAACACTATAATGGCATTTATTAAGTAAAATGGTGAAAACTTTGTTTTGAAAATGTTTTAAATATAAACATTGAGTGAACAGTCTATGCAAACGCTCGACTTTGATTAGAGTTTGAACGAAGTTGTGCACGCCTGTGAATTTAAACGGCCTCGCTGATAACCTGGTTAATCAATTTCTGATTTAGACCGTAGTTTGATTTTTATAGATACTCGATATACTGATAATTTTGTGTCATTATAATTAAGTCTAAATGACGAATGGCTATAAAAACTTCCAATAAAATATCAAATAAAGATAAAGATAAATAGATGAAACTTTAATTTTTTGTAGAAGTAATCAATCCAATTTAAAAAAGTAGAATTATCTACATTTTTATCGGAAAGTACATCAAATTAAAAATAATTCTAACCCAAGCAAGTAGTATATACTAAATGAGTTATAATCTAGTAATCAGGTAGTTATGTTTTAAATTATTTGTTTATAACGTACCTAATTGTAATTGCTAACATGTAATCACTGTAAAGCAGAAAACAAGTGTTTCAATAAACGATATCACATATAGGTGTTCCAAGCAAATGAGATTTTTGGTGACACTCTGTATGTACCCCACAACTTGTGAATAAATTAAAATTAAACCCAAAGTATAGTGAAAAAACGTGGCAACAAATGTTAATAAAACACTGAATAAAAAAGAAAAACCTGAAAACATATAGGTGGCATTTTAACATTAACAATTAATTCCGCTTCTTGAAAAGTTATAAAACTTTATTTTACTACATTTTATTTGTGATGACATGTATATATAAAAATGTAGACAATACCAGTAATAGTGTAAGAAAAAAAGAAGTCCGAGGTCGGTGACCATGTTAATCGTCGCTTGTAAAAGTTTATTATACAGTTTGTAAAAACTTTGAAGTCTACCAGAAAATTCAAAGCAAATTCATAAACCACAAGTATAAAATTATATATGTACATTATTTTATGAAATTTAAATAATATTTGGTGTAGAAAACTTTGAAGGGCCGTCATCAAATGGCTGTTTTACTATCTACACGATATCCCCAACCTATGTATAAAATTTGACAACAATCGATGTAGTAGTTTTGGAGATTGTCCGTTTAATAACAATCGACACAGACACACAACAAATAGACACAGAGATAAGAGCCCAATTTTTCAAAATGAGGTTTTATGAAATTTTTGACTTTTTTCAAGCTTCAAAATTTACTTCCGGCTTCATTTCTTCGAAAATTTCTACTCTTTTGGGGAATCGCCGAAATTAAATGTGGTAATTTTAGAAATTTAACTTTGAAAACGATTACCTCGAAGATCTTCATCTGAGACCGTCAACACGCTATGTTTTCGAATTATCTTGTCAAAATCTATGTTCCACAAATTTTGATGAATTTTCAGGCAACTTTTCCAAAAGCTCAATTTTTCAAAATGAAATTTTATGAAAATTTTGAGTTTTTTCGAGCACAATCGAATATTATCTAGAAAGAATTTTACAAATTTCGACCTCTAGAAGTTAATTTTGGTTTCATTTATGAGAAAGCTCGTACCTTTTTTTGGGAACTGCCAAATGCAATATAGAATAGAACAATTGTAGAAGCAAACACTTGAAAATTCAAAAAATCAAATGATATTGAAAAATTGAAAAATCAAGAAATCGTGAAATTAAAAAATCGAACAGTCGTAAAATCGAAAAATTGAGAAATTGAAATACGGAAAAATTGAGAAATCGAAATCCCAAAAATTAAAAACCTGAAAAATCGGAAAAATTAACGAATTGAAAAACTGAACAATCGAAAAATCGAGATATCCAAAAGTCGAGAAATCCAGATATGGAAAAATCAATCAATCGAATTGAAAATTGGAAAAACGAAAAATTTGAAAAATGAAAAAATTTATAAATCGAAAAATTAAAGAACCGAAAACTGCTGAACCGATAAAAAAAACTAAAAAATTGTTGAAAATGTTCAGCAAGGACACATTTTCAGGACTTTGAAAAATCGATAAATCGAAAAAGTAGGAACGCAAAAAATTTAAAATTTTAAAATAGAAAAATTTTAAAATCGAAAAATTGAAAAACTGAAAAACCAAAAAACAAGAAATCGGAAAATCTAAAATAAAAAATATTACCGAAATAAAAAAATTGAAAAATTGAAAATTATATAAACTGAAAAATCCCAAAACTGAAATGGTGAAAAATTGAAAAGTCGAAACATACTGTAGACATAATAATTCGCTTGCGTTCGAGAGTAAAAATATTTTAATAAAAATTTGCCGCTTCCTCGAGATGCGTACTGAATCTATCATTCCTACTGGATTATATTGGTTTCCTATCTGTCAGGTAGCAAACACCAAACACCGCGAAAAAGATTGATATTTGTTACAGACAACCAACGAGTAGTTATCGATCATCACAACGAGGCGGCAAAATCTGCGAAATTTCAAAGCCAACTTGATCCACAATCTTTTATAACCACTCGTAATATCGTGTGTATGTCATATCAAAAATAGTTCTATAATTTAAGTAAATTCTAAATCAAACGTCCTTGTCTTCCATTGTCTTGTTTATGACGTACTTTTAACCTTCAAAAATGGAAGAGCAAAACGAGCCTGATAAAAAAAATCTGATTCAAATAAATTGTTGTTTAAATGTTTTATTTACGTTTATTTTAGTTGTCAACAAATTTTATAGGAAAACAGAGTCAATTTCAAAATGAAGTTATTTTGTCACGTTTATTTCTCGCTTTAATTCTTGGTATTAAACATTAAACTGAGTTACGGCAGTAAAAAGAAATTACGAATTTTCATTGTCAAGCCCATGTGATTCATTTTATTGTTAAATTTAAATTGTTAAACGATATTAATCCTGTAATGATGGTGACTACTTTTATTTCTCACTGTTTATAATTTGTAATGTGATTGTAACATGAAAACAAGAATATCAGTAACGCCCAGATTGTAACTGACTGCAGTCAAGGTGATCATAGTCATTTTTTGATTGATTTGAATATTCAATATTTTGTTCATAGCACTATAGTCAGTCAAAACAATGAAATAAGCATAGTCATAGAATAATTAAAAAATGGTAAAGCTCTCTTAACTTCTCACTATATTGTTTGTGGCTTTCAGGCTCATCAAGTACATTAAAATTTTGAAGCTTAAAGCTGTCAATCTAATACTAAATAAGTCTTTACATGACTTGGATCGAAGCTACTCTGAAACCAATACAATATTTCTTGATCAGAGAGAAACAAATGTCTATAACCAATATTTTGCATTTCAAGCAAAGTTGAACTATCAACATATTTTTTTATGCTATTGATATTGTATGTAAAAATTAAGTTCATAATATGAACACTACAATGTGAAAAAAACAACGGAATTACGAATTTTCATGTCCAAGTTTGTATCCTGTTTATTATAAAATTTAAATTGTTAAACGGGCTTAAGTAGCGTGGATTATTTTTAGTTTTTCGCTAAATGGTTTGTGATTCTCAGGTTCATGAAAAATTCACGACCCGACTCTTTATTTTTAATGATAGTCAAAGAACATTATTCGTTGTTTCTCAGACAACTTTTCTGTTAATTATATAGGAAACTCGAATAAAAGATTTTTAAAATGTGACATTTGAAAGACCCCATGAAGACCAGTCGGAATGCGGTCTTCTATTTAAATGGACCAAGCGTCTTTCCCTTTACATTCAAGACCTCAGACGTGAATAATAGAAGAAAAATCTTTAGAATTAATTTGGAAAATTGTTATAAAAATCATAAAATAAGCTAGACAATTTTAAATTATCTAATTTCTTTGTCTTCCAAACAACACCATTAATAACAAAAACAATTAATGTCAACAATAACCTGAACAACAATAATTTATATCTCAATTCCTGAGATAATAATTAAGAAAACCATCTGGGTATCATTACGGTTCCATTTAATAAATACGGTTCTATTCCACTGCATCCATGAGTAATCTTCCGAAATAAATTAAATAAGACGTTCTTCGAGCTAACAGCTTGTAAAAACCCCAAACTCACCTCTAACAGCCATGTCCGAGTTACACCCCCCGAAGGGAGCCAAAGCCAGGAGGACTAACCCCAAAAACAAAATATCCATGTTGCTAATTAACTCAGTTCTCATAAACAAAGTCCACTCATTACATCACAAACACACCAAAAACACAACACAGACACCGACTTAACTTAAGTCATCATACTCATCCACTGTCAAAAAAAATAAAAACAAAGTAAGTACGAACGCAACAACCTGTTGCACGCAACCACGACGAGCAGCGACACCACCTCTCGGCGACTCGCAACCGAATGACAATTGAACGTCGCGCTCAGCAGCGACGGCGGCGAGAGCGGCCGAAGACGGCCGAAGTGTCACAGGTAGATTAGTGACCTTGGAATCAACAGGTAACCCCCCTGGGAGAGACGGAGACGGAGCTATTGTGTTCTTGCGTATAGAATGTTGATCTGTATTATTGTTGAGAAAAGATGAAAAAGCCATGGAGGATGCATGGTGGGGCCGACCAGTGGGCTGATGGTCGCTGGGGGCAGGACCGAGGGTGACGGGTTGGCTGGGTGGCTGGATTTACGTAATGCGGTAGCGCGCTGGGTTTAGGAATTTTTAATTGTGGAGAGATGTGGATTATGGTCTTTTTCGTTGTGGGGGATGGGTGCGATGTCGGGTGGATCAATGAACCCATTGATGAGATGGTCGAGTTGGTAGTGTGTAACTGGAAATTTATTAGTGCAATTAGCGGTTGTTTGCGTTTTTCTTCTGGCGAACTCGTGTAGGTACGAGTTGCATGGCAGGTGAATGGAGTTAATTGCGTTTCTTGTGAGATGAAGTTGGCCACTTTTTCGAAAATAAGTTTATAGAGCAGAACTTATTAGTTTTCATAAATATAAAAATTAGATGCGGGTATACATATTTTATTTTTTTGTAGATACGGCAGACAAAAAAGGTGGAGAAAACGAATAATTTAAGAGAAAATTTGTATTTAAACACCTTTTTTACTTTAATTCTAAAGCGCACGGTTTCTTAATTTGTCCGTTTAAAAGCATCCTATTTCAGACTGATTGTTTTAAAGGTGATGTAAAGATATCGTCTACAGGGCAATTAAATTTACACACTACCTCATTAGTAGAGTGTTAGAATGGTTTATGTTTATTAGAATCTCAAGGAGAAAATTACCGAAGTGATACAAGCAGAATAAAGATCTATGGACTTCATCCCAAGTTATTCACTGTAGTTGAATAAATTATCCGCAGAATTAAGACAGATTACACATTAAAAAATATATATTTCAGTGATCGTCTAACATTGGACAGTATTTTACCAGATGAACAGACAGACATACAGAAAGACAGTGCTGCGTACTAACAAAATTTTACGGTTCTGTATTTAGACCAAAAATTTAGGGCTGTAACTCGGATAAAATTATTTCATCATGTTGAACGCGGATCTGTAATTTATGGGTTCACGGATTAGTATTTTTACTGTACACCAGGATCAAAGTAAAAAATTTAATTTGAGTGATTTATTGGAAGCTACCAATAAACCGCTTAGGATTATGGAAGTGATAAGATAATTTACAGTCCTGACCTCCTCTCCTCAAAGGAATAAAGGTCTATTGCAGTAACACATTTTTTGTCACCAAGTAACCCAAACTCGTTGTAAATCATCACCATTGTAATATTGAGCAATTTAGCTTACAACAAGCACCTTTTTGAAAACAAAGTCATTGTTCACTATTTGGTGGACTCTATTTTACCACTGTAAAAATAGTTTATTTTATTTCATAAAATTTGGTTTAAGGTTATTTAGACAGAATTCGCCTCGAAAATACATTTAATTTTTGATGATAACGCCTATAAATCAAATAAAGATATCTCTGCAGTGTAAGAGTACAGGTAAAGATGCGTGCTAACCAATGGACATGCTTAACTTCGCCTGTTTATGTCTATACTTCGAAAGAATTCAACTATTAAGCACGTTAAGCTATAATTAAGCAAAACGAGCCGATATTATTTTGGGTGAGCAGCTATTATTATGATAATTATTATTTTATTGTTACTAAATGTAGCGTGGCGCGACATTAATGTATTATCACATTATCGAAAAAATTAGGTAAACCGTTTTTGATTTGATCAATAAATTGTTGGTTAGCATTTTCCATCTACATGATGTTCTTAATATACCTACATATAAAATTTGACATCAATCACTTTAGTAATTTCGGAGATTATGTTTATGTCTAATAAAAATCGACGGCCAGATGGAGACGGAAGACATATTTTTTTTGTACTCTAGGGGTGATGTAACCAGGCGCGGATACAGGATTTCGTTGGGGGGGGGGGGGGGCAATTTTTGTGGGATTTTACCTATCCCCCAGAAATTCGTTCTAAACAAAAAAAATTATAAAATTTTAGCAAGTATACTCTTTTTCACATAACATGGGTGACATTTGGTTGTTTTCCTTACACGTAGAGTGTACAGTAGAACCTCGATAATCCTAATAATTGGGAAAAAGTTGTGTTCAGATTAACGATTTGTTCGTATCAGCGATTTTTCCAAAAATCGGAAAGGGAATTGAATAACAGCTTCATACACAACTGAAAACAAATTTCAAGAAATAAACTTAAATTTTATTACACAAAATTAAAGAATTCTTAAGCAACAATGGATAATAATATACATGATTTCTAAAAAAATATTACTCCGTGACCATAAACACGTAATTTTTTTGGAATAAACACGACGGGATCTAGACCCTGAATTTTTTCAGAATGTTTAGATGAATTTTTGAAAAAGGAAATTTTCCATTATGTATTCGTCCAGTTCAAATATCGCAATTTTTAAACATTTCGAAAAATTCGAATTTTAAAGCGAATTTTCCGAAAATATTGCTCCGTTACCATAAACATGCTATATTTCTGGAATCAGCACGTCGGAATATATATCCCTGAATTTTTTCAGAATTTTTAGGAAGTTTTTTCAAAAATTAAATTTTCCTCATGCAAATTTCGACCCATTTTCGACGATTTTCGAAACTTAACTAAATATTTTCTCTTACAGACTTCGGGTCTCATTTTTTCGATAATTTCAACCTTTTTTCCAGAATTAGTTAATCAATTCAGTGCATTGAAATATCGCAATTTTTAAAAATTTCAAAATATTCCATACAACATGTGCAGAAAGATCTTGCGTCATTTTTTCAAGTAGGTGCATGTTTTCAAGTTCAGTTCGGATTGCAGAGTTTTTCTTCGGATTAAAGAGGTATCGACTTCAAATAGCCTCGGTTCGGATTGCTGGATGTTCAGATAATAATGAGTTCGGATTATAGAGATTGTACTGTAATTACAAAAGGAAATGCGATTTCAAAATTTTGAAATTGGTCAAATTAAAGTAACTCGATCGTGTCAGGGGGGGGGGGTAATTGCACCCATTGCCCCCCCCCTAGATCCGCGCCTGGATGTAACGTCGAAAAAGCATGAAAGTAGTCAATCGCCTGATGGATCCAATTACAATACTTCCTTAACTTATGCTCGGGAACTAAAACATATACAGCAGGTAACGATCTTCTGAACAAAAGTCTTAAAAGAGATACAAAAAAAAGAGTGCGTCGACCCAGGGAGGCACGGATGGAGTTTTAACTCTGCGTTGTCAATTTATATAAATTACATTTCTTTATCATATAGAAATATAATAATTAATTATTATAATAATAGACAGCGGATGGCCGTCGGGTTAAGCAAGGTCAAACTCGGTACGGTATGTACGGGATGGCGGGATGGATTCATTGCAGTTACGGGCTGCACTTCGTTTATTTGAGAATAGAATAACGTTGTTTCGTTGCACTCTGCTGTTAATTCCCGTTCTCATTTAGTTAGCTTACTAATTAGGTTTTCGTTAATTGTATTTAAAGCGACGATTAAATTCAGTGATTATCACCCGCTACTGACTCCCGGCGAGCCAGGGCGTCATGATTACATTTGTGGCGGCACAATGAGCTGGATAAGCGAAGTAAAGATCAGCCGCTCTGTACCCTAGTGGTCAAGGCACCTGCCCGGCAAGCGGGATATGTGCGGTTCGATTCGGAACCGGAGCAGCAAACATTTTTTCTTCGCTTACCTGCACATTCACAGCAGTTTATCTTTCTATAGTGCGGCGTTATATGTCTATGTTCAGATTCAGTTCAGACTGGTGTCTGTGTCGGTACGGAAAAACGTTAGCTCGTACCTCGAACTCGACATCCTATTCCGGCGCGCGTCGTATACGTGTTCTGTAATACGAAAAGAGAGGACTTAAAACTCTAAAAATATTATACAAATTTTTAATAATTAGTCCCAGTCGTCCTTCAGTGTAGACCAGTGTTAAGAAAAATAAGTCTTAAACTTCTTGGTTCAGGCAGAGTTCCGCTTAGTTTTTTTGGTTTTTCAAAAACTAGTTCGTTTTCGCCTAGAACTAACATTATTTTTGCCCTGGGAAAATATGTTGTATTCCATTAAACAATTTTATCAGTCGATTAACGTAATATTTAACATATCTTTCCACTAAGTCCATATAGTCTGAAACCATTTCGCTAAAAATTCAACTTTGTAACGTGAATACACTTAGTACTGGACCTTTTCGAGGGTGTTGATCAGAGTGTTGCTTGACTGGACTAATACAATTCCAACCCCGTTCCCAGCAGCGGATTACGCTTGGCAAGCACTTACGGTCACTGCCGCGAGTGACACAATTCCGTCTACGACGAGCGGATCACACAGAGAGCCGCAATTCGACTCGATCCGTGACGAGAACACAAGCGATGCTGGAGATTGGGTGAAGATTTGGCGCCCAACGTGAAGCCTATACAACTTGATTTAATTTACGTGAAATACATTTTAATAACAACTTTGATATTGTGGGAGCGGGGGTAACGCCAAAGCCACGATGTCATCAATATTTTATGAAGATCCTAGAATTTTGAGAAGTAACAAAAAATAGACACTGTGGTTCAGTCTATGCATAAAATGTGTGTCATGCAGGAATAGAAACAACATTTTAAACAACAATTTAAAATTATCAATTTGGTAGATATCTGCTTGTATAGAAATAGATACTCACAACAATAAGATACGATGACAGAATACATACCTACCAAATTATTTATGTTTCCTATGCAGATCGCCTAACTGTATCCCACGATCAACATTCAATAAAATAAATATAACATTTAAAGAGGCACGTTCAGGCTGGATATCCGGCATTACAAGAACAGGTACCTACAACTGGATCTACTACTAGGAACATAAGAAAATCCGCATGCAAATACTTGTCACTTTACATTAGCTCTTCCTGCATTGATAAAATATTCAGAATTAGTACGTACGTATAATTTGCACTTAGAACGACGACGCCAACAGACTTGTCAGCAAAACTATTTTTTTCATGACACTGTTTTTACGTTCAATGGTTCAGACAAAACTCTAGTTACCAAGTTGATGGATGCACCAGTCCTAATTTAAATCCAACAGGATTATTATCTTAGACTCTTTTAACATGTTGGATTTCTTTTTGTGAGGTTACTTTATGGTTTATACTAAGTATAACTTATCCGTCGAAATAATTAGGGTGAAGGTTTTATACAACACATTGTGGTGTCCCAGTTTGAATTCAAATTTTGCGCTGAGAAAACAAAACAACGTCGCGAAACCGCATTTGAAAAATTTGAATTTGAAAAGTAAATTAAGAAAAATCGTTTAACGTAGGCAACCATGTGCAATCTCAGTTTGGTAGCTCATCTAAGTAATTAGTGAATGTCAATCATTAAACTAATAGTGGTGAAGGGTTGGAAATGGCAGTTTAGGCATGAGAGTAGATGCGTCACTTGTTTGTCTCGTGTGTGTAAACACGTGCTGAGCCTGAGGTACCTAGATTAAGTTTAGTTGGTTTGGTAGTTTCATAAAATCCCCCACAAGCGTAATTAATTATTTATTATTAATGAAATGAAATCTCATCTTAATTCATAACCTGAAATGTTGTGAAGTTTTGCCCGTGGTCTCAATGTTTGTTTATTGTTTGTAAATTCATAGTTCATGTTAAGATTTTCAACTGTTCCTGGTTTTACCGTTAGGAAATTTACTTAGTCAGGCTTCATTCTTTATTTATCAAGTTATAATTAAAGTTTCTAAATGTGGTTGCTTAAGTAATACACACATCTTAATTACTCACTTGAAACTGCAATAGTTCATTACTTCATCTAAACGTTGCTCCACTTTGAGAAAAAGGACCTTGAAAAACTGCGGTTAAATTCGAACTCTCGTGGACTTGAAAAACGTAAGTGCTTTAATATTTTCGTAGAGATTTAATTATTTTCTTGCGGCTTGAATTTGAACATTTATTCTCGAAAGTACCTCAAAGCTTTGCGAGACCAGTTTATTTATTGAATATATATTTTTTTGTTTGTTTGTATGTCTCTGTCAACTCTTCTGTTAGTTAATGTTGGGATTAACTTAAGAAAATGTAAGCATGTCATAATTAACATTCAAAAAGCTACATTCCGTGTACACATGAAAATGCAAACTCGGTACAAATACTCCACGTGCATTTATAACCACCACCTTTGGGACTGGATTCTGTCAAGTAAAAAACGCTCCTACGCATTTGGTTAAACCTTAGGTTTCACTTTACTCTCCAGAGAGATCTCGGTCGCAATATCACTATAATTTAAATTTCACTCCGTAAATCTTATTTCATAGCTCAATTGTATATCATATTGTTCTAAAAACAGTGAAGCATGTGTTTACCACCTTCAAATAGATATGAATTTTATAAAACCAGAATAAATTATGTTGTGGTATATTTCACAAGAGAACATCGAGTAGGTACGACCATTATAGCAAAAATTTTTAACACATCTTCAGAATGGATCCAACCATTGCTACGAAATTATAAATATAACCTGTCCAAAACTTTTCCCATATAACTTAGGGGCGTTTTTGTCATTTCTGTATAAATAAGAAAATTTAGAATAACCAAATTGAACTAAATAACTTTATAATCGAAAATTACCAAACAATGTACTTCCCAGGGTTGTAATCAAAATGTAAAATACCGTCAACTAGATTAAATAAATATACATCCTGCACAAAGTTTTTCCTTTTAAAAATTTAAATTCGTCGTATTTTATCTCAACGCCTATTAATTTCCTGCGCTGAAATAAATACTACACATAAAATCAACAACAAATTTTTATCTCACCGAGACTACCGAGAAAAACCCCCTCAGTACATCTCAATATCTGTGTGGGAAATGATCCACAAAATAATGATAAACTTTTAGACCTGATAATTGGATTTTTCCATACACAACAAAAAAAGTGACACTTTCCACCTTGGTTATATCTACATAGGTAATTATCGATAACTTTCAGTCTGATTTGAATTAAGAACGTATCGTGCATTTAATTTCACTTCCTGTGATTCGAAATATTAAAATTCAAAATTTATTTCGTCGCTTGTAAAGTTCGTATTAATAATGCAAATGAAGCAGTTAACTTTCTACATTTATGTTAATCGTCATCAACAATGTGTAGTTTATGGAAAGACTTATTTTCATACAAAGATAAAAAATACCGTAACCTGAACCACAATGACCTCTTTCGCTACAAAAACAAAGAAAAAACTTGATGATGAAAACAACAAGGAACGTTTTAAACATTTTATTAAAATTAAATAGTGCTTAACTTAAACCATTAACAAAGTGAGGCACAATACGATTATTCATCACATTTCAAAACATAAAACTACATCGCAACAATATAAAAACCGAACAGCATCCAACGACACCGATCAATCATTTTACATAACCTTAAAAAATAATAAAAACTATACTGTTCCGTGAGGGGTTCTCGTTAAATTCATTAAATATTATCTTCATTTAGGCTTTCTATCAACAAGTAAAGCTCAACCTACAACTATTTATTTAATATCATTTAATAAATGTCAACTAATCACAACAGAAATCATACAAGAAAAACACTGTTGTCAAGGTCCTATGTTAAGCGCACCTAGTTCTTTTACTTTTGTCAACAAGTCGCTAGGCTGTCGATACGGCGTGATTAAATTTCGTTGCAATGATCAAAAGTGGCCCATAGGCCTCGAAATAACTCAATCCGGGCCTGGTCAACTCAGACTAACTAGGATATGTGCTTCTGAAGGGCAGTGGCCAACGAAGTATCTGTATTGAAATTTATCACAACACACCCTCTATGTACAGGAAAAAAATTATCGCGACGCCTATGGTTCAAATGACATTTCCACCGACCGTTTTCACACTAAAGCAGCCCAACTCATAAGCTCATTTTGATATTAACCCAGTGGCGTGCCTGGAGATTTCGCCGATTCTGATTACTTTTTTTCAGCCGCCATCTTGTAACCCCGGCCTACTAACTACACAACAGTTACAAAGATATCTCTTTAAAAAATTCGTTAATCTAACCTACTTTAGCGCTTTATTTTTGAGAACATCACATGCTTAATGCGTCCCGCTTGATACTATATATCCAGGGAGATTCCTCGAAGCGTCCGCCATCTTGTCACTTCGACAAATCCACCTGATAAATTTCAATACAGTGTCAAAATACGTGTGTGAATGTGTTTATATGTGATTGTGTGTGAGCAGTGGCGGCGGTTCTTTAAAATGTTTGTTTTTAACAGACGACGGCCGATATAGGGTTTTCAGTGATATGGATGACGTTCGTTGGCCACTGGCCGCCATTGGGCAACTTCGATTTGAGCAGTTCCTCCAACGATGTTTTGCGGAAAAGGGCCATTTTTGTAGGCGATAGGGGAGCCACTGCAAACATCAAACAAATTGTCAAATTGTCGGAGGCGGCGGCACGGCGATGCGAAGCAACTAAAACCACCAGAAAAGTTAAACTCCGTGGCGGCGCCACTGCAGGTGTTTTCAATTTGTAAAAAATTTTGAGAAATGTACATCAGGATGCAAATTTTCTACCTGACAAGTGTGTACTGTGGAGTGCAAAAATAAGAGAACTTTAACTAAAAGCCACATCATGCGACAAGCGACTTAAAAATATTTATGTAGATTAAAATATAAACACAACTATTGTTAATTAAAGTAATTCAATTGGACAGTGATCCAGTGGCGTAAGGATTTAAATTGGTTACGTCACTGGTTGAGTGTTTAATGGGGTGCTTCAGGCACACAATCACGACTCACAATACACGACAGATGAGGATCATGCCATTGCCAACCTATAAAACTACAAAAAAATATAACTCGCATCATCTTCAAGACAACGTTGGTTAGTTCGTTTACTTTCTTACGTGACCAGGGAATCTATGTGGAGTGTTCTGCTTCTCAAATTTATACTTCACAACTTACTCTAGCTACGTCAAACACATCAATTGTTTTTAATTTAATTTTTCAAAACAGGCAACAGTGCATTTTGGGTAGGTACGGATTTTCTTTTTGAGTTTAATGTAAAACTGAGGTTTTGGCTGCCATCTTGAAAATAGAGATGGAATTATTTGCTTCATTATAGAGGGTTTAAACAGTCCCATTTTCCATTCTCCAAGTATCTACTTTTTCTAAATTTTCCGATAAATATTCTTCAAAAATTAAAAATTTGATTTCGTGATTTTCGTTTTGTGTGGACAATATGAAATACCTATATTGAGAAAAGTAACCAACGATAAAAATGTAGATAGTCTCAATTGCTCAATAAAAAAATTGCATTCTTATTTTCAAGATGGCGCCGAATGACTTCACAATCAAAACTAAAATTACTTCAGTGGTTAGTAAATCGGAATCTGATATGTCATACATGAACATCATTGGGTGGTGGTTAATAGCACATAACAAAGGGTAAAAGTCATTCAAAAGTCCATGTAGATATTATTATAAACTTCCTATGTAAATTTCAAGACAAAAACACACAGGGCCATATTTACGAACTTGGTAATAAATTAAACAATACGATAATGCAATGCTATATACAACTTGCTTCAGTTCATTTAATTTTCAAGTTTAAATTTCGCTGATTTACCGCGTTGCGAATTTCCGATTCTGATTGGCTGATATTTGAAATCCGCGCCAAATCGTGACGTCAGTCTTATTATTTCTCTACTTATGACACGTTTGCTGTATATAAATAGGGCCCTGGACATAAAAATTGGTTATCAAACGTTTAAAAAATATCTGAAGAAATAGAACACCCCACTTTGAGTGTATATCTGTTATATTTACATTATCTGCCTGTGTTTCGTGTTGTTTAGTGTCAATGTAGGCCGTGTGGACTTACGTGTGAATTTTTCGGGTTTTTTCGGGGCCGCTCTACAACGACAGGCCAGGCTTTAAAAAGATTTACCTTCTATTGACACGCTGCTACTGGCCCGTCGGCGCACTTGTACGGCTAAAACAACACGACATAGCGATGATAAGAGTCAGTGACTATAAAAAAAAAAACAACAATAAAAAAAAATAAAGTCACCCCAACGACTGCTAACCAATCAAAAACAAAAACGAAAAAAAATCACACACACTAACAATGAAAATGAATTAATTTATTACATTAATAATAATAATTAATATAAAACACACAAACTATGAAAGCACAGAACAATGTTAAAAATACTAATCAAACGAAACCTAAGACTAACTTCCTAATTTTTGGATTAGCAAGGCGTGGGGCACTTGACATGTATGGCTGAAAAGAAAAGAATAAAAAATTAAAACGAAATTATAAACGGCTTGCTTATGGGTAATGAGTGTCTAAAAATCTATAAAAAAAAATCGTACTGTCTACGGTAGAATGAATTGCGATATGGAGGCTCCATGGGTACAGGTACAGCCCTGAACAACACAATGTCACATAAATACAGCCTCCCTCTCTAAATAAATTTTATTCATTATTTTTTTTTTGTCATAACATCGCGTCAACGTCAAGATTACATAAGCCAATTGTAATATTGTCAAGCAAAACTGAGCCATTATGTACACAATACAAGAAGAATTGAAAAATTTAAATCTTCGTCTCTAATACTTCTCCAACACCGGCTCTATTTTCGGACATTGCTTCACTGACTTTGCTGCGTTCCAAAGAAAAATGAAACAGAACACAAATTATTTTGAACAATACATACCATTCGCGCATATCCAACCAACGCAAACAATGTAAAATAAAATAAACTCAGTGTATGTTCGTGTTTTCTTTTTTTCTAATCTAGACAAGTTAGGGTACAGGGGGAGCAATCGTCGACACATTGACGCTGTCACGCTAGGAAGAGGGGGGCAGATTATAGTCTGCCGCCCTCTGCCTGCTGGACTATCCTTAACATTTAACTCTACTTGGCAAAGCAGTGTTCTGAGCGTGTTACAAAAGCCTGCGCTCTTTTGGTACATTCTTATTGTTTTGATTCTTTTGGCCGGTCTTAATGTTAGGTTATGTTTGTTGAAGACGGGTCGAACGGAAGATGGCGTCGGGGTTTCACTTACCGTAGCCTTCGCCTTGCAGAAATAATCTGAAAGCTTCGCTCACTTTGCCGGGTTGCTCCTCCAAAACCATTCCACAGTCTGAGATCTAAAAAAAATATCATTTGTAGATTTCGACTTTCGTTTTTAATTTAACGTTCACGAGAACCCAACACACAAAAATTATTTTCGGGGTCCTTGAAACTAGTGTTGTGATTTATTAGGCTATTATTGTGAATAATCACCGTGTTATAATTTTGCTTTTAAATGCTGTCTCATCATTTCTGATTTCTCCCGAAAATGAAATAACTACTTTCTATTTATAGCTATCATCTATCATTCACTCTATTATTCTGATGGTCTGTCAAAGTTACAACACAAGAACAAAAAGTTGTTAGCAAGTCAATAAAGCAGTCAAAGTATGGTTTATTATGTTCATGGTCGTTGGGTTATTGATTGGTTTACTGGCTGCTGCGCGTTGTCTGTATTTTTATTTTTATTGCTTGTAGACAACACATTTTAGTACCTGTTTACTGTTATTTAAGGCGATGAGAAAAGTTTGGTAGAAGGAAAAACATTGTTTTTATGATGTAAGCGAAGCAAAAAGTTTGCTAACAACGACCAAAGTTTACAGAATAAAATTAACATTAAATCATCACGAACACTAAACTAAACCAACGAGAATTATAAAATTTAAGAAACCAAGATTATTTTTTTGGTTGTATAGGCAACAAATTATACATTGTATTTTGGACAGCTTGTACCGTGCGATTGAAAATAAAACGAATTAGAGATGGCTGCAATACTAATTGTATGTACAGGTGGCACTACTGCATAACTCACGTCACATATGTCCATCACGTGCAGTAGACAGGTTATGTTGACAGTGATTTAGGTTAAATTGGGGTTCCATTTATGGTATTTGTAACAGATCGCTCTAAATAATTTTTAGAATCGTCTGCCTCCATTTTTCACCGCATTCTTGATATATGTGCTACTTTTCTTCCTCCGGAGGATCAGCGCCTGTCAAACATTCTCCGAGTATTATGTTTTATTCAGAATTCTGCTTTAACACCAGTTTCGGATCCTTTCCGGTGAAAGTTTGACACACCTTTTCTGGTTGACTTTTCTTAAGCTTTATTAGGATTCGTCTGGTCTAAGGGTCATGGAAGTGAATTTCAAATTTAGTAAAATATTTTTCGTAAACAAACAGATAGCTTGGAAATTCTTTCAGTCTGTAGGTTTTTTGTGTTATTAAAATATTCAGTTTATGTTTATTGTACGGTTGCTACATTCTATTTATTAAATATCGAACTTCGTGGTTTCCCCTTTTTTATACCCTCTCATCCATTTCCACACTATTGAATAGGAAATTTTTATGGCCCTCCAATTTAGGACGCGAGGTCTTTTCCCGAATGCGATCCAGTTTCCCGGAACGAATCGTCCATATTTTTATTATTGTTATTGGAGTTGCTTTCACTTTTCACCTCAATCTAGCTTTGCTCCATCCCTTTGCAAATAAATGGCACAATTTCATTGTGCTCAGGACCGTCGAAATCAATTGTCGATTCATTAATAACGCTATGACATGCCACTTCACGGATCTAAATTTAAACGACCTATTTAGCTGTCAGTCACTGTTGGCAACAATGATAAAGTGTCAGAATAATTTTGCATAAAATTGCTTTTAACGTTGGTATATGTTAAATTTAAATTAAGTCCAAAGTTAATGTGAATGTAGCGGGTATATTTTAAATGTTGGGGAATAGTAAAAAATCATTTCGTTTTTTTGACGCTTATTTACAAGTTTCATGAAACATTATTTGAAACATAAATTCCAAAAGTAGAAAACGAGTCGTCAGACGAGTTTTCAAAGGGGTGAGTGCGCTAAAATGTCTCATGAAGTGTTTTCTTTTTAATACTTTTTTTTTCAACTACGCATCTTTTTTCCATTTCTAAATAAAAATTGAAACTTTCATAATTTTGGGGAATTTTGTGTTGGTTGGTATGACAAATGTCGGTCAGATTGTATCATTTGAAGTTTAAATTTTCACAATAATTTTCCGAAATACGGAAAACTGCCCAAAACGGCACCAAGAATATATTGCCGAATAAATCTCGTCTTCCCCACAAAAATATTACTTCGTCCTTTTGACGTTTATTTTATTTGTTATTTAATAGTGACATGTAATATAGATAAACTTGAAAACAGAAATTACATCGGTTGTTAAGAAAACGGGCAAAATATATGCCCCGCCCACCCGCCCGATCTCAATTGTGATGATTTTTTTTAACTGCAAAATTTTTATTACATATTTACTTAGAAGAAATTACCACGTAACACTTGTTTTTGAGTATCGTGTTATTCAAAAAATACTATGTACATATATTAAGAAAAAATTAAAGCCAAAGATTAAGCCTCACCCATACTTGCCTTGATCTAAATAGTAATCAAGTTTTCATTCGTTGGTAGACCTAGGGGCAGAACCTAATTGCAAAATCCATATTTCGTTACAAAAATTTATCATTTTAAACGTGTTTTAAGATTCTGAGAATAAAAAAAATCATCACATTTGAGCTTGGGTGGGTGGGCGGAGTTTATATTTTGCCTTTTTTCTTAATGTACATTATATTCTTTGAACAACACGATACTCAAAAACATGTTTTTAATTTCTTGTAAAGAAATAGGTATTTTTTACGTTCTGCTCCCTTAGTTCTCGGCGAATAAAAAAAATCGTCACAACTGAGATAGGGCGGGTGGGCGGACATACATTTTGCCTTTTTGTTTTAATATGTGAAGACTTCTTTTCGCAACGAAAAACTTAAAACATGTTTAAAATGGAAAATTTGTATAAAGAAATATAGATTTTGCCATTAGGCTCTGCCCTATAATTGGAAAATCCATATTTCCTTGCAAAAATGTACCATTTTAACCACGTTTTAAGTTTTTTGTTGTGAAAAGATGGCTATGTATATTAAGAAAACAAGGCAAAATATAAGCCCCTCCCACCCACCCCATCTCAATTCTGATGATTTTTTTTTATTCGTCGTAAGCGGAGGGGCGGAGCTTAATTGTAAAATCCTTATTTTTCAACGAGAAATTACCATGTGAAATATGTGCTGAAGTAACCGTGTTGTAGAAAGAAAACTAAGGACCGGTTTGTAGAAAGTGAATGTAATATTTAATCCTCGATCAATTTAACACAGGACTAAAATGAAGAATTTGAGCCCGTGATTGGTTAAAACATACACGTTACCTAGCAACGGACTTCAATTAAAAGTCAATCGCGAATTAACTTTAATTCGCTTTCTATAAATCGCGTCTGAATGTATTAATTAAAAAAGCAAACGAAAAGAGAAGCCCCACCCATCCTTCTGGATCAAAATCATAAAGAATTTTTCATTCGTTGTCAGACCGAGGGGCGGAGCCTAATTTCGGTACAAAAATTTACCATTCTAAACGTGTTTTAAATGTCTAAGAATAAAAAAAAAAAATGATCACAATTGAGATGGGGAGGGTGGACGGGGTTTATATTTTGCCCCTTTTTTTTAATATATATATAGTATTTTTTGAACAAGACGATACTCAAAAATATGTTTTTCATTTCTTGTAAAGAAATAAGTATTTGCAGTTAAATTTCGCCCCCTTGGTTCTCGGCAAATAAAAAAAAATCATCACAATTGAGACAGGGCGGGTGGGCGGGCTTATATTTTGCTTTTTTGTTTTAATACGTGTAGACTTATTTTCACGACGAGAAACTTAAAACATGCTTAAAATGGAAAATTTGTATGAAGAAATCGATTTATTATTATTATGCTCCGCCTCATAATCGCAAAATCCATATTTCCTTGCAAAAATGTACCATTATAACTATGTTTTAAGTTTCTTGTTGTGAAAAGATGGCTATGTATATTAAAAAAAAAAGGCAAAATATAAGCCCCACCCACCCGCTCTACCACAATTCTGATGATTTTTTTTTTATTTGTCGTAAGCTGAGGGGCGGAGCTTAATTATAAAATCCTTATTTTTCTAGGAGAAATTACCATGTGAAACATGTTCTTAAATAATCGTGTTATACAAAGAAAAGTAAATGTATTATTAATTAAAAAAGAAAACCAAAAGACAAGCCCCACCCATCCGTCTCGATCTCAATCGTGATGAATTTTTCATTCGTTGTCAGACCGAGGGGCGGATGGTAATTGGAAAATCGATATTTCCCTATACAAATTTACCATTTTAAACATGTTTTAAGTTTCTTGTTGTGAAAAGATGACTGCACATCTTAAGAAAGAAAGGCAAAATATAAGCCCCGCCCACCCACCCTATCTCAATTGTGATGAATTTTTCATTCGTTGTCAGACCGAGGGGCGGAGACTAATTGCAAAATCGATAATTTTCTACAAAAAAATTACCATCTTAAACATGTTTTACCATTCTTGTGGTGAAAAAAGATTAAATTACATATCTTAAGAAAAAAGGGCTAAATATAAACCCTTGTAGTTATAACACCTAATCTTTTTTTGAGATGAATAGCAATAAATCTCAAAAATGTCCCCCCTAATTCAGGAGATTTTCCTTCAAATTGGCAGCACTGTACACTACCGCAATTTGATTGGTTGAAAACCCAACGTCAACGGCAACGTCAGCGGATGATATAAACGACGCATACTTTCGCTGCGTATTTATCTTACAAGGGCAACGTCAACGGCGAACAGCAGAGTCAGCGACAAGTTTATAAATCGACCTTTACGACTTCATAAGATTTTTTTCTACGCATATTTTTCCATTTTTAAACAAAAATTGAGATTTTTATAATTGTGGGGAATTTTGTGGTGGTTGGTATGACAAATGTCACTTTGTAACATTCGAAGTTTAAATTTTCACAATAATTTTCTGAAATACGGGAAACTGCCCAAAGCAGCACCCAGAATCTATTGCCGAATAAATCTCGTTCTCCCTACGAAAATATCACTTCGTTCTTTTGACATTTATTTACAAGTTTCATAAGACATTATTTTAGAACATAATTTCCAAACTTAGAAAACGAGTCGTCAGATGAGTGAGCTAAAATGTCTTTTAAAACAATTGAAATTTTATAATTTTTGTCGCAGTTGGTATAACAAATGTCAGAAGTGTAAATTTTCACCAAAATAACAATTATTAACAATGTATGAAGCTGAAGACAATTTTACGTCCGCCAAAATAATTGCTTCATTTCGTTTTTTTTTTGACGTTTATTTTATTTACTATTTAACAGTAACTTTTGAAATGACCATCAGAAACGACTAAATATACAAATGTTAAAGAAAAGTACACACTGCAGTAATTGTAAAATTTCTACAGCATGTTTCACCCATTATCATCTAACTGTCCCCCATTGTTTGCGATTTTACCAAACAAACCCAACTTAGATTTCACCTACAACAAACCCAGAACAATCATACCTTCATCCACGACGAGTTGGTAGGATCCAAGCGTCCATTAAAAGTAACCGTATCGTCGACATGTGGACTCAAAGACCCCGTAATATTCATCACCGGCATCTTCAACGTAGCAGATTCTTTTCGTTTCGTAGGATCGAGCTCCCTCTGTATATTGAGATCAGTACGACGCACGTAACTGTCGATGAACAAAGCGAGATTCGTAGGGTTGACGTTGCGTTCGAAGTAGCTTTTGTACACTTGCACCAGGTCGTGATTCCTCTCTTCTGTGTTCTAGACATAACCTCACTTACACTTTTTTAAATAACGACGAAAGACTATTTACCCTGCCGAAGTGGTGCCACATCAGGTAGTCCAAGACTCCTTGTGTCATACCCTTCGACCGGAGATGCCTCGCGTTCAGTTTCTGGTAGCCCCATTCGATCCAGCCAGCCTGCGTGCTGACGCAGTTGATGAGGCAGAGGGCGGTCACTTGGTTGGGGTTGTTTAGGGCGAAACGGGCCAGAATGTTTGCTCCAGCGCCGACTCCGAAGCCGATGAACTGCTTGAGACCGAAGTGGGTGAGCACGAAGCTCAGCTGGTTAGCGAGTTCGTCCATGGTGGGGTAAATGTAGCTGGAGTAAGGCAAGAATGAGATAGTGGTGGCATTTAGAAGATGGAGTAATTTATTTTTGTATCCACTAAAATTGTATCAGACACGATAACATTTGTAGAAACAGATTTCTAAATGACACTGTATTAGTAGCAGGTAGAATCCCGTGCCAGGGACCTACTTTTAAAGTTTCAGTGGGCTGTCAAACATCTAAAATTTGTATTTCATATATACATAAGAAATCAATTTTATCACTTCTCACGTATAAAACATATTCATGGAAGTTCAATTACTTTTTTATAAAATAGCATAGCTTTGATTGATTTGAAAGATCTCTTTCACTTCTGGAACCGCCTGTTTTAATTTTAAACAACGCCACAAAAAGCAATTTTTGGGTATTCAGGCCGCACATTTCAAGCTATTTTTCAAAAAAACGTACGTGATGGATAGTGCGAGTGATTCCGACACAGACAGTATTCCATCGGATGTAGATCCGACAGTGAAAAACATCGTGGTCCGCTGCTGCCTGGGAAATCAAAAACGTCTTAGAAGAAAACTATTCAAAGTTTGAAGAAACGTGCAAAATTGAAAAAGTTAAGAAGATTTATCACGAAAAGGTACACATTTTGAGAACCTTTCGAATCAGCGAAAACTTTCTTCGTTATGGATATATTATTCAATGTTAATATTATTACTATTATTAAGTAAATATAAGCATTTTGACTATATTTTAGGGCACGGTTTGTTTTCTAATCGTCATTAACCTTGGTACGTTCAACTCCTCATAATTACGTTATGTTATAAAATTTTAGTGGATAAAAAAATAACGTTACATCTACATCTGAGCTTTCTGATGGTCTCTGATATAAAATTTAACACCGTAATTGTTTTATATACATATATTTCAAAAATCAAGAACTAGTTTTTTAAGTACTGATTACAACCACTATTGATGTGTCATTAAATCCTTGGATATGTATCACTTTACCCTACAGCATGTAAATGCTTGTTCAGTCACCGTAACATGAATAATGTGCGTGTTGACGTTCACGTAAATAACCAATATGCGGGCACATTATCCCATTCAGTGTTTATCCAATTACAGATAGGTGTTGTAACATTTCAGTTAAGAGGGTAGGAAGATACAATCTCATCAAAGACCAAAAATAACTAAATTTATGGAAGAGGTGTCCGTTGCTTAGAGGTTCAACCTGTACTGGATTACACTCATATAGGTCAAGGTTCTCGAAACAGGAAAAGACATAAATAATGAATGCCCTTTGTAAAATCGACGACCAGATGCCCGGAGTCTGATAACGTTTCTTGGTTACAAAACTCTCAACGAATATTCTCGGGTGTTCCCTGTCACCAAATTGGTAAATATGTGAAAATGTATGTAACAAGGAGGAAATGAATGGCAGTAAGGAGAAGACTCAAGAAAGAAGGCACGGAACTATTACGCTCCAAACTCAAATGTAAAAGTTTGTTATCACCGGAAACTACATGTTCCTGGTGGCGGCACCGTGAAAGCGAATTGGTTCATTATGTTTCTTCAGATAACTTGCTAATATATTGCTGCGATATTTTTAAAATTATGTATATCTTGATATACCTTTAGTTCAAAGAATCGTCTAAACAGAATTTTGGTGAAATATTAAATTATACATATCATAGTTGCATTATGTATACTCATTCTGAAGTAATAGGGCTGGTTCTGTATTTAATAATAATAATCTGAATACACAAAAATAACTTGCTTTTTATGTGAACTGTTTGGTAAAGAGAAAGAAAATTGGTTTTAATTAGGCAGAGTCTGATCACTCCGGATATCTCTCTCAAATTAGGATGGAAAAATATCAAAGAAAAAGTATCTTGTAAAGCAGTACACAGACATTAAATATGGAAGGAAATTGTTTGGAATAATTGGTTCTAAATTTACATATTTTTTTTGTTTAATCCGAGAATCAAAGATTTATGTTACACATAGAAAACAATCAATAATAATAATAAGTCTAAATATTGTCCTTTTACTGTAACTAAAAATCACTTAAGTATGGACAGAAACAATTTCGAAACGTGGTTCAAGACAGTTAGTTCCAAATTTAATAATAAGACTTCCTTCTCAAAATTTTAAAACTTCCGCCCTATCATTGTCATTTCAATGCTCTTGTGACGGTATGGAGCCAGTGTAAGCGAAAATACGACCAATTTCATTCTTCTTTTGCTCCTGATTACTTTGGCGATTAGTTTTACAAGTACATTTTGATTCTTTCTGCATCTACTTTTACTTTTACCAAAGTTTATAGGGAGCTTTGTTTGATATCTAGTAGGCCATGCATTTTGTTTCTAAGTTGGTACGACTGACGATTGTCCAGTTCACTTTGAAATCTGATGTTTGATCTAAAGTCGCGCGTTGCTACTGAGTGACTATTAATGGTTGTGTTTTTTTTTCATATTGGTAATATATTAACTTTTTATGATGGCATATCTAGTTGTCAAATTAACATACAGGGTTATTCAGCTAAAATGACCCACCTGATCCTTTTAGAGCGGCGACCCAAAATGCCGATTACAGTTGTTTCTGAATTTCAACAAATATTTTAAGATGGTCATTTTGACGGTAACTAAATTCTCATAGTAATTTAACAAAAAACAAAAAAAATTTGTGTCAAAATTACCAACTGTGAAATGACATCGTAGCATTACTGCCAATAATTCAAAATTGCCAACACAACAATTTGCTTCAATCACCCGGTAATCCCGGTATTATTGTGGTATTTGACGTATTAGGATTCTAGGTTAAGCAGTGCGTAGCAATGCGCAGGAAGTGTGAACTGATTTTAAAAATCCAAGGCCTACTAGATATCAAATATTAACGAAAGCCCTGTATAGTTTTTGCCAAAATAAAAAACCGCTACCTGTTGATTACAGTTAGTAACAAAAAACCTCCAGTGGTGATTTTTTTATTCTTAAAGCGGGATTACGTTTTATACCGTTGAACCTCGACCGGAGCATCAAAATTGTCATCACAAAACACGTAAGTAACGCCTGATCAGAAATGACCGAGTCTGTTGACAGTACTTTTTAAATAATAAAAATGTGAACTTTTAGGTTATGTTGTGGATACATTTTGCAAATTTAAAAATGTCAACAATCTGTCAATCTTGACAGCTGACAATCAGAAATTTTAGAAAACGTCATGATACCAATTTCAACTAAAAATCCAGGATTGCTAACAGACTCAGTCATTATTCACGCGGTAGTTTTGTACTGAATATTTTTTTTTGAGGAAAAATGTATTTTTAATAAATTTGAACCAAGCAAGTCAAAATTTACAACAATTTGAATTTCACCACTACAAGAAATTGACATTTCTAATGCAAATTTACTTTAGCATAATTTAATTAATCACTGATAAAAACGTGAAATAAATTTTCAAGTTCTGACGAATGATTAGAAAGAACAGCGTGTTTTATTTTTGTGACGTCACTGTAAAAGAATAATTTCGAGTGACTATTAACGTTAGTGTTATTTTTATTCGATTGGCAATACATTTAAAATTTTATAATGACATACGTAATGTCAAATTCAAAATTTGGACACCAATTTCGTATCTGTCATCTTCTCAGCGGTTTTTAGGCGCGCTCGTGTCAAAATTGAGAACTGTGAACGGATATGTTAACATTGTTGCCAATAATTCAGAATTGCCAACCCAAAAATTTGCTTCAATGATTAATAGTCACCCGGTATTTAAACTTGATCAACCAACTTCCTAAATTTCCAGGGTTTGCTGCGGTCTTATAATAAGGTTTATACTTTAGTCTCCTGTAGTGTAGGGTTAAATTTACAAAATACAATGTCAGTTCATAGTTGTCAACTTTGACAGAAGAACACCTATCGCGCCTTACAAATGTGATGAGATGACTTGGTGCCCTAAATTTCATTCTGACAATCAAGTATGCCCTCATAAAATTTTAAATATGTTGCCAACCTGATGTTTCTTTACTAGACATGACCCACACTCGCCTCAAAATCACAGAGTATATGTCTACTTTTGTGTAAAATTTATCCATCATCAAAAATACAGGCCATTTCAATGAAAGGGCACAACCGTAAGGAACTCATGTGTTTTATTTTGAGAAAAATCGTTAATTTGTTTAGCTATCTAACGCTACTTGTTTTTTTTTATAAGGGTGCTTTAAGTCAATTTTCGGAAAATACTAATAATACACTAAAAAAAATCAAATCAAAAAATTGTGGAAACTCAAAAACGGGACAAAATAACATTAACGGTATTTAGTCAGTTCAGAAATACACATACGACTTTATTGTTAGTTTATGTCCTCAAACAAAACTGTTATCTACAAAGCCGTAATTACCTTGTTTATAATGACAATGATTTATAGACATATGTACATTTTCCTACGGTGCTTATACTGGGTCGTTAAAGAATAAAAATAAAACGGTATTACTAAAACACAAATAACATTTAACAATAATATTTCAGGGTATAGCTTTCAAAGAAGAATTTATTTAGCAAATTTTGAATGACGTACAAGGCGCCAGGAAGAGGCTGATTAGATGAATTTTAGCGAAGGTGAATGCTCTACTAAAAATGCGAAAAGTTTATTAGTTAAACTGTAAAATTTAACTTCGACCCTGAAATGTGTATCATTTTAATATTCATTAGAACCACACATGCATGTGGAGTTTAAAAGTCGCATGATAGACCACAAATGAGACGTTGTGCACCTATAAAACTTACTTAACAAGATTTGCGATGATTAGAGAAAAAGTAACGTAAAAAATCTGTGCAGATGGTAAAACGACTTACTCTTCGGGTAATGTGGGAGCCCCCTCCTCCTGCCCTGGAGCGTTGACGTGGTAAACGCAAAAGTTCTCCAATAACGCCCTCATGTCAATGTAATTAAAGAAGGCTTGGAAACTAGAAACATCTGCAACAGATTTCGTTAATCGTCCGCCATCTTGAACCAAAATGGAGTCGTACAATTGAGGCCCAAGTCGTGATAGGTTAGAATGGCTGGCTTATTCCTAGATCCCTGTACCGCTACCACCAAATTTCCACGATCAGTCTCGACAATTTCCTCTTGAGCTGAAGAATCATCACGTGACAACGAACGCGCCGAAGGGAATTGTAATTGGATGTTTTTTAGTTCGATGTCGTCCATACTGTCCGATGGCATCGTACTGCGAAAAAAGTTATCACGTCAAACTGATCGTTGCCTACTACAATAACCTTTTGTTTTTGTCCCCAATACCAAATTAAATATCGACCGCTAAATTTAATTAAGCTTCAAAGGAAGCTACATGAATGCGGAAAAGTACTCAAAAGCGTATAAAGTCGCTTACCCCAAAAGGGCCGCCTCTTCAGCAACACCGGAAGCGGGCATTTTCCTGTTACTATTCGAGCTTTCTGTCCTAAAACAAAGAATTCATTGAAAACTGCATGGGGTGCATTGCCAAGCTCCGCCCGGCCGGGCGGAGCCAAACCTAATGACACTAAACGGTCTATACGCTACTCGGGTTAGTAATTTTGTCAGCGGATGAGCCATTTCCGGCTTCTTGACCGGAAAACGACTTGCGGGCTAGAAGCTCATGTGATCACCATGTTTATTGAAAAAAGCACATCACATGCACCATGCCAACTTACCTTATTTCCTATTCCTGAGAGGTACAATGGCGTTGACCTCGTCATGGATCGATTCAAAACGGAAAAAATCAACAACGCAAAACATATATATGCAACATCGAACTGATTTCGCTTGTTCTGATTTCGGTACAGACGCAATTTGCTAAAATCAATGAAAAGCAATTTGTTTAATGGAAGACGCGTTGCTCCATAATCTAATAACGGCCAGCAACGACGCAATTCCTTAACAAGTTCCCCTGACCTTAGTCACGTAGTGCGTGTTGTCGCCGGATATTTTCATTAAAATGTTTCGAACGCCTCTGTGCTTTTTTTAGAAACGGAGGACGCTTGTGTGTTTTGATACTCGATCTGCTGCTGTTTACTCACAACATGTGGCTGAAACGAAATATCGCCGACCAGGGAGTCGTAAAGGTTATAGAATCCAGAACTGCATTACAGTCCTCGCAATCATGGTCGAATGTCCTTCGCTCGCTGTGGTCTTGGCTAGAGTAAAGTCGCCGCATGTGGAATATTGCTTTGACTTACTTAATTCAAAATAAACATAAAGAATAATTTTTTGGCTTAGTTTTCTGCACATGATACGCGTCAACTATTTTTAGAATCTACTAATTCACCTGCATTTGGAGTCGATAGATGAGTTTAGCTTTTCTAGTTTTTCTTTCCAGAATTTCTGTTTTCTTTTTATCGGCTTTACTAGTTTTGAAGGTTACAGTTCCTTCGAAACTACTTTCTTTTGCTGGTTTATAATCACTTTCTTTTTCCGTCGACGTTGTTTCGGTGATACTAACAGTAGTATGTGGAATGTGTTCCCTTTGGGCTTCAACCGTATCAGGAACTTCAGCTGTTAACTTTCCGGTGTCTTCACTGGTGGTTACTTCTTCTATTAAAGGAGCTTTTTGAGGACTAATTGTTTTGTCGGCTTTCGATGTCTTACATTTGACGGCTTCTTCAAAGATGATTTCTTTTTCTTGAGTCAAAACTTGAGCAGTGGATGCTGTCTTTCGTGTCTCTTCTAATTCTAACTCAGCTGAGAATGTTGTAGGTTTATCGCCTGGCTTGTAGTTGCTTTCTTTCTCAGTGGAAGTGATTTCCGTAATACTGACAGTCCTGTGAGGTATATGTTCCTGAAGAGATTGTTTTTGCTCAGGAATAGCTGTTTTCAGTTTCGTTACATCTTCTTCAGTGGTGACTTCCTCAATCAGAGGAGCCTCCTGAGAAATGATGCTCTTCTCAGCTGTTGAAGTTGTAAATTTGAATGTCCCTTCGAAACTAATTTCCTTTTCTTGTGTGATCACTTGAGCGGTTGAAGGGGTTCTTCGGGTTTCTTCGAGTTCGAAAGCAGCCAACTGACTTGTCATCTTTCAAGGTATCTGAAATCACCTTCTTTTTCAGTTGACGTAATTTCAGTAATACTGACAGTGCTGTGGGGTACATGTTCCTGTAAAGCTTGACTTTTATCGGGGACTTCTGTGGTTAGTGTAGTCACTCCTTCCTGGACCGTCGTTTCCTGGATTTGAGGTCTTGAGCACTAATTGATTGTTCAGCTGTACTCGTCTTAAATATGACTGTTTTTTCGAATTCTGTCTCCTTATCAGTTGCTGTGATTTCAGTAATGGAAACGTGTGTTGGCGGAACTACCGTCAAGTCACCTTTTTTACCTTCGACAGGAGTTTCAGAGAACGGAACTTCCGTTTCTTGAACAGTTCGCTCCGAAATAATAACGCTTTGCTGAGTTCCTTCACTGATTTCAGCCGTTTCCGTTTTGGGTTTTTCGCTGGTGAGTTGGCCGATGTTCTCATGAAGCAGTACCTCAGTTTTCGAGCTTGTAGTCAAGTCGGACGTTATATTGGAAACGCCAAAGTTCTTTTGCTTTGTAAAGTCGCTGACGAGCTCTTTTTCGTTTTCTGGTGTCGTGACGTCAGTAATCGTAACTGATGCTCTTTGGGCAATACTCGGTTTTGCCTTCTTTGTATCAAAATCGAGTACCTTTTCAAACTCTTTTTCCGATTCGTGTATTCTGCTTTCTGAAAGAATGAGACTTTTGAGAGTACTTTGAGTTAGGTTTCCAGTAGCCCACTCTTTGGTTTCTGGTTTCAACTCGGCTACGTTCTCACTAGTGAGTACTTCAGAAGCTTGCAACGGTCTCTTAGTTGCGTCGTACTCAGTTGTAGCTTTCTGAGTTTTGGCTTCGAATTTAGTAAGCTCGTCTGCTTGTGCTTCTGTGAAGGTTTCACTGGTGGTGATTTCAGTCAGAGTGTTGATTTTGGTGTCCGCTGTTTTCGTTGCGAGTTTAAAGGTATCTTCGAATTGTTCGAAGGTGTCGAGGATTTCCGTCACTCTTTGTGTCAACCCTTCTAAGACATTTTGTTCGGCGACAGCAGAAGCTTCACTGGGTTTAGCGGGCACGAAGTCACCCACAGACATACTAGTTAAGATTTCTGAGCTCTGCATGGAAGTGTGACTAACAACATTAACACTAGCTGGGTTTGATTCGGGTTTGAGTTGTTCCTCCAACGAACTCTCTCTTTCAGCGGTAATAATTTCGGTCGTCGATCTAATCTTACCTTCTTCAAATTCAACCTCTGCTTTCTTAGTCACATAATCTTTCTTTTGATTGAGACTTTCCTCCTTCTCTTGAACTATCGGTATAGACTGAATCAACTCCTCGAAGGTAGTGTGTTTGACGGACGTTGTTGATGTTGTGGGAGCTTCGTGACTCAACTCACCAGGAAGTTTGTGATTCCACTTGAGTTTACTCGGGTACTAGTTTGGCGTCAAAGCCAGTAGTGGCTTGTTGCGATTTTGGTAAGTCAAATTCCTTCAAAAGACCTTTCTTGTCTTGTGTCAAAGATTCATTTACCGAAACAACCTCCTTTCCTTCTTCCAACGTTACATTCACTTTTGTTGTAGCCGGAACAAATTTGCCTTCAAATTCTGCCTCTTTCTCTTCAACTAAGTTTTCAGAAATGATCACACTTGACAAGGCTTCTTTGTTTTCGAAGGCTCGTTGTGTTTCAGGTTTGGCGGTTTCGAATCTCTTCATGTCAGCAGAGGAGTCTGTGGTACTCTGTTCTGCAACTGCGTAAGTTACGTCGATGTTTTTAATCGCAAACTTTTCTGAATGCATTGTGATTGGAGCTAGAGTATGTTCCTTAACGACCAAAGTGGCTTCAGAGCTGGATATTCCTTCAACTCGTTGCACATTAATATTAGCCATTGCTTCACTGGGTTTAACTCCTTTTTCAAACACATCTTCTTTATCGACGATCACTTGTTCAGACTGCATTAAGGGGGTGAAAGGTACAGTTTCAGGTACCGCTGTTGTTGTATCTCGAGTTTCAGGTTTAAAATCTCCGACATCTAAATCTGCTTGGGTTTAGAAAGTGGATGCTACACTTTTCATATCAGCAAAGCTTGTCTCAGCAACTTTGGTTTCAGTTGTTTCCTTTACGAATTCTTTCTCATTTTCATTCGTAATTACAGTCTCGACTATAATGCTTTGATCTTCATTGACTGAAACGACGACGTTTCTAGTTTCAGGTGTAGCAACCTCTAGAGGCAAGTCTGATTCTGTGGCAACCGTTTCAAGATTGACAGCGGTTTTGAAGGTTGAAAATTCGGATTGAGCTCACAGCGTTTCTGGTTGAGGTACTTCCAAATCTTTGAAAGTGTCATGAATGTCAGTTTCGGTTTTAACAACGAGCTCCAAAGTGGCTACACCTGTCTCAGCATGTTTCCATTCCGGTTTTTCACCCGGTTTTAGAATTGTCTCTCTTTCGCTACTTTCAGTTTGAGTGATTACTACTCCGGTGTCCTCTCTAAATCCTACAGTGGCGCTTTTAGTTTCAAGAGGTGCTTGTTCGAATGATCCTTCTTTATCTTGGACCATCGATTCTGATAAGATTATGCTTTCTAAAGTAGATTGGTCGACATTGGCTTGAGCTGTTGTGGGTACCACTTCTACAATGTCACAACAATGTTAGTTTCGGCAACGGGCTGTACGTCAAAAGCTAAAGAAGCTTGACCAGAGGTCACAGCTTCTGGTTGTTCGTAAAGTTTCTCTTTATCTCCAGTCAACGTTTCTGATACAAGAGCAGCTTTAATTTCTTCGAATTCTACTTCCGCAGTTTTTTCTTCCGGTTTTGTGTCTTTGGTAAATGCGCCTTCAGATTCACCAATTATAGCTTCCAAATTGACAACGCTTTGAAGCTCTGATTGAGTTTTAACAGCTGTGGCTCTAGTTGGAGAAGACTTGTCATAGGCACCTAGAGTATCATCCGGTACGGTTTCTCCTACTTGAACTTCATCTGGCGGGGTTAGAATAGAAGCAGCTGTTTCAAAGTCGCTTGCTTTTTCCGTGAAATATTTTTCCTTATCGCCGGCCAAAATGGAAGTTACTGAAATCGCTCTCTCTGGTCTTGGCTGGAGTAAGCCAAATTGTGGTTCCGATTGTATTAAAGGATGAAAGGTACGGTTTCAGGTACCGCTGCCATTATGTTATATAAATATACAGGATGATTCACGTGTACTAATACTTAATAATAATAAGCCTGCTTGAATTGGGGACGCAACTCAGAATAAATTCGTTGCTGTATTTATTTATTTATAGAGATATTAATCGCAGAAATCTCATACATTATCATAAATTCAACAAAAACATCAAGAATTAACTGACTCCTTTTCGAACCCCCTAGTACGGAAGCGCACATCAAGGTAAGCCCGCACCCTTCTATAACACAGGCCTGCGATGGTTTTCCCCCAACAAAAT